AAAACAGACCAATGTGATGGATTAGAGAGCCAAGGAAACAGACCCATGCGTGTGCAAGGACGGCTTTATGGCAAAAATGATATTTTGCAGTGGTGAGAAAAGTACTCTTCTTCAACAAGTAACACTGGGTCAATGGAATAACCATACGGAAAACCACAAGCTGACCTCTTCCTCATGTCATATATAGAAAATTAATTCCAGTTGGATTACGGATCTTAATGTAATAGTTTCAAATAAAAAGAATTGAGAAGATAATGTACGAAAACATGGTCATTTCGAAACAGGCAAAGATTTCCTAAACCAGACCCCAGAATACAAAAAGCAAGCCAAGCAGGGGCGAAAATTGGAATGATTTTGGATTAGGAATTTCTGCTTATCAAAAGATAACCATTAAGAGAGTGAAAAAGTAACCCACAGAGTGTGTGTATGTGTTCATGTGTGTGAGTGTGTGTGCCAGCTGAAAGTCTCACATACCGCTGGTGGGAGTGTAAGTAGGAAACCTCAAAGAATCCGAAATGGTTGACATAACTCTTATTCTGGTCTTTTTTCAGTCACTCCCCTTTAACACCCTCTCAGGTGGGGTTATACTTTATGAAAACCAAGCTGAGTGTCTATTTAGAAAACAGACTAGAGAAGAAGGGAATTAAACACAGAATGACTGCAGGACTGTCAGGAAATAAAAAAGCAATATATGGACATATGTTAACGTGCCTTAGTGTGGGTGACAGTTCCTTCCCAATCACTGATTTCAGTGACGATTGTTGCTAAGGATTCTGATTTTATTTTTAAGGCTGGTGGCGACAGATGGTCCTAACAGCGTTCCGCATTGGCTGGCTGCCCTCTGGGTGTGGCATGGTCTGAGTTAGTGACACTCAGTGTGAGGAGTTTACTATAAATATGCTGAAACTATATAGTTTTGCTAGAGGATATTTCACTATACCTGAGACTAAGGTCTGATATTCAATCCCAGTTTTAGAATCTTGAACTGTATAAAGGAATCTCAGAAACCTTGAAACAAAACTTACTACAACCCAGATTATTTTCTGACCTGCGACTACCAGAACGCTGAAGTCCCAAACCCACCCATTCCTCCTGATGAGGGGAGAAGGGGTAACTCCTTTATTTGGTGGTTCCTGGGATCTGTGAGGAGATCCCAATTGCTACAGCACCACTCCTGATACTTGCTGCAAATTATATCTCACTAGAAATAGGAGAAGAGTGAGTTTGGGCTATTTAT